AAACAGAGTGCATGCCCTGGAATAGAATTATAAAATAATACCCCACATTCCCTGCAGATGCACATTGCAGGAGATGATGAATAGTGATAGGCCTTTTGGAATAACTTGCTTAGCAATTCTGATCTTCTCATTAAGGATTCTCAATAAGCTTCGGAGGAACTCCAGGGTTCCACAGAACATAATTTGAAAACCACTGGGGAAGCCGCAAAAGATTGAGGGGTGTGTGTGTGTGTGTTATAAGACTGTTGGAAGGGGCAAAACAACCTTCCTCCAGGTCAAACCCCTTGTCACAAGGGAGGGCATCCATCTATCAGCCTCGCACACAGTAATCCATACAATCCAAAGCATGGTGTTTATAAGTAGCAAGTAGCAAAAAGGTACTAACCCTCCAGATAGCAAGTAAGTGCTTTTCCTTCTTAGAAACTAAATGTGGGAAGGGCTGTAACTCAGTGGCTCAGCATCAGCTTGCATGCAGAAGCTTCTATTGCAGGTACCTTCAGTTATGAATGGGAGCGACCCAGACCTCCAAGTGTCCCTATTTTCCAAGGACAGTCATGAATTCACAGAAGCCATTCCTGTTTCTGATTTGATTCAGGGCAGCTGTCTACCAGCTCCACCAACTACACAGGCTGAGACCCTACATGCCTGCGGACTGTCTTGCCAGAGTGGTGCATGCTCTAGTTATCTCCCGCTTGGACTACTGCAATGCGCTCTACGTGGAGCTACCTTTAACCCAGAAACTGCAATTAATCCAGAATGCGGCAGCTAGACTGGTGACTGGGAGTGGCTGCCAGGACCACATAACACCTATCTTGAAAGACCTACATTGCCTCACAGTACGTTTCCGAGCACAATTCAAAGTGTTGGTGCTGACCTTTAAAGCCCTAAATGGCCTCGGCCCAGTATACCTGAAGGAGCGTCTCCACCCCCATCGTTCTGCCCGGACACTGGGATCCAACGCCAAGGGCCTTCTTGGTAGTGGTACCCGCCCTGTGGAACGCCCTCCCTTCAGATGTGAAGGAAATAAGTAGCTATCTTATCTTTAAAAGACAACTGAAGGCAGCCCTGTTTAGGGAAGTTTTAAATATTTAATGCTGTATTGTTTTTAACACTAGATTGGAAGCCGCCCAGAGTGGCTGGGGAAACTCAGCCAGATGGGCGGGGTATAAATAAATAAATAAATAAATAAATAAATAAATAAATAAATAATATCATCCCAGAATGTCCTGCTTTTCCTTAGGATGTCCCTATTTTCATCAGAGAATTGTTAGAGGGTATGGAGTTATGCGACCCCCCAAGTCAATGAGATAAGTAACAATACAACCTTTAGAAGACATCTTAAGTTTCCTGTGTTCCTACAAATGGGTTAACAAACCTAATTTGAAATGTCACCATAAGTGACCTTCAGATCAATCTTGCTGGATCCGTATTTCCTATCACAAATCTTCTAAGGCATCTTCTCCCAAGCTACACTCCACCTGTGTATTTTCTTTTCAATTATCTTCAAACTGCATACTATAAATATGAACTCCTGCAAGCCAATTACTTCTTATGACTTCACCCCAGCAAAGAAACTCTGAACCTAGAAGCAATCAGAGGCGAAATGAACTCTTATATGTAACCCATTTTTATTTCAGATGAAATAAAGTTTGTTGCTGGAGTGGAGAATAGGGCCCATGAATTTTGCATGATTTTCCAGTTCGTGGAAACCAATTATTCACTTGTTGCCTCAAAAATATGGGTAACGAAAGAAAAACAATTTAGATAAAGCAGCACGGCAAGCTTTTGTTTTAATGCTATTATTTTATGAGAAGCTGGGGACAAATAAAAGAGGGGGAAGCTGGGGGGAAATGCAAAAAAGGGTGATTGCTTTTGCAGTGCCCATAAGGAAGGGGCTAGTAAAACCAATGTAGGGCAGTGTTTGTGCATATACAATGAAGTAACCAAAGTTAAATTAGCTTACGAAGGGACATGTGAAACTTATAGCCTTTGGAGGCCTGTTTGGAGAAGTTATTGCTCGGTCCCTGCTCCTGGCAACCTAGCAGTTTGAAAGCATGTCAAAGTGCAAGTAGATACCGTATTTTTTGCTCTATTGGACGCACCGGACCATAGGAGGGGGAGAATGGGGGGGGATTTTCTTGTTCTCCCCCTCTAAAACAAGGTGCGTTCTGTGCGTTCAAGGTGCGTTCACCCAAAGCCTCCAGAGCCCAGTGGGAGTTCCCGCTGGGCTCTGGAGGCTTTGGGTTCCTTTTGACCTGCTCTTTGGGGCTGGCGGGGGGGGAGCGCTGCTTTCCCCCACCACCAGCCCAAAAGACCAGGTTAGGGAACAGCGGGAAGGCGGCGCTCCGCCTCCCCACTGTCCCCCAAGCTTGTGGGGCTGGCGGTGGGGAAAGCAGTGCTTCTCCCCACTGCCAGCCTCCAAACCAGGTTGGGGAACAGCGGGAAGGCGGCGCTCCACCTCCCTGCTGTCCCCCAGCTTGTGGGGATGGCGGTAGGGAGAAGCGCTGCTTTCCCCACCACCAGCCTCCAAACCAGGTCGGGTTTGGAGGCCACTATCCGCAAGCCTTGGGAGCCCGGCGGGAGTTCCCGCCGACCCCTCTCGCTCTCCAGGCTTCAGCGAAAGCCTGCATTCACTCCATAGGACGCACACACATTTCCCCTTCATTTTTGGAGGGGAAAAAGTGCGTCCTATAGAGCGAAAAATACGGTAAATAGGTACTGCTCCGACAGGAAGGTAAACGGCGTTTCCGTGCGCTGCTCTGGTTCGCCAGGAGCGGCTTAGTCATGCCGGCCACATGACCCAGAAGCTGTACGCCGGCTCCCTCGGCCAATAAAGCGAGATGAGCGCCGCAACCCCAGAGTTGGCCACGACTGGACCTAATGGTCAGGGGTCCCTTTACCTTTAATTATATCTGGATTGACATCTATACATATACATTTTCATATTATATGCAAATCCATGTCCTTTTCGCTTCCTATTTACTTATGTACTTCTTCTTTTCTGATGATTTAATATGGGGCAGTCAAAGTGCTTTTCCTTTTCCTTTCCTGCTCCCCACTTCCTTTTTTAAAAGCTTGCCACCACATCAAGCATCATCTTGCCGGCTGCAGCAATCTTGTGGCTTTCCTGGGAATAAAATACCCTTGGGAATGATGCTATGTTATCATTCCCAGGAGTATTCTTCGGGGGGGGGGAGAGGTGGCTGATCCCAAGGGGAGACTTTGAACACTGAGTGTGGGGGCTGGGAGTGAAGAAGAAGGAGACTAGAGCTCCATGACATGTAGAATTTATCGGCCCTGTTGTGTTTCTCTTCTTGGCTGATTGGCAAACCTTTTCCTCTTGTGATGGATCTTAAACCCTTGTTCCTCACTCCTGAGCTGAGCATGTGCTGGATATGTCAGCTGTTCTATTGCTGTAATATTTTGAGTCTGAGTGTAAAGTACATGCCCAGCCTTTTCGGCCAGTTCAGATGGTGTGATAGCACTTTGATGGTGTGGCTTTATCTCAGGGTCAGCCTAAATGAGCTGAGGCTTCATTTTATACAGCAATGTCTCATGTGGATGTCTGCTTCCGATAACAGTTTAATGGAGGGTAATTTCCTTCAGATGCGTCAAGTGAAAATAAAAGCCTCTGCATTTCCTGTTCATTTTATCGCACCCTTAAAACATGGCACTAAACAAGGACTGTATACAATTCCATCTCTGCCTGTAGTGTCCAATCCACTTTCTTAGGACTGGGCCAGGGAAACTTTTTGAGAATATGCAGCCTGAAGAATGGTCTCGGAAAGGATTTTCCAAAATGTCGTTGACACATGGTAGGCACCAATTTGAAAGATAAAATTGTGAGAAGCCTTCCCAGCTTCAAAGCTTTCTAGCCTTGAAAATCCTAGTTAAAAGTGTACAGAAGAGTCACACCATGAGTCCCAGGATCATAGGTTGGAGTCAGTCCCAAAAACCAACCCCACAGCAAGTCCAGCATCCAATCTTTAAAGTAATCATGGCGGTGCAATGTAGACTGAGACCACAGCATGCAAAGAAGGGAAGTTTAATCGTTCCTTTTCCCACTATGATTTCCCCCAGAATCAGCCCCACACCAAGTAGTGAAAGGTGAGTGGAAGCTCCCATTGGTGCCCATGGGAGATTTTTTGTATTTACTTCTTAGAGCATGGAGGCGGCTGGGAATGATGGTACAGGAGATAATAAACAAACCTTTCTTCCCCACATGCAGTGATCCTGATCTGGATAAGGGCCCCACAAGCTTACTTTTAAGTTTAAATATGCTGCATGGAGCTGCCTACTCTTGAACATAATCTATAATTTTGACCTTCAGACCTCCTTGCCTATCTATGAAAATGGCAACAAGGAAGTAAAGCAAAGAGGTCTGGTTTTACGGGGAGAAAAAGAGTGTACAGGGGTATCTCAGTTTTCGAATGTCTCCACTGACGAACATTTCGGTTTTCGAACACCATAAACCCAGAAGTACATGCTTCGGTTTTCGAACACACCTCAGAAGTCGAACATGCCACGTAGCTTCCGCTGAGTGCAAGATCCTGAGGCCTATCTGCTGGCTGTTGAGTTTTTGGTTTTCAAACGTTTCAGAACTCGAACTGTCTTCCGGAACGGATTACGCTCGAAAACCGAGGTACCACTGTAATTGCTACTGGTGTTGCAGATGCACTGCTTTCTGCCTTAGTAACACTGAAATGTTACTGTAGTAACACTGAAATGTTACTGTAGTAACACTTAGTAACACTTAGTAACACTGAAATGTAAGACTGAAGGGAAATGACAAAGAAGTCAGTTTAAGTAAGGGTGCAGTCTAGGCTGTGGACAAAAGTAATAGTCTCAAAGGAAGCTAGAGGACAATGGAATGCAAGATGGGCTCAGACCACCCTAGAATGGAAGCTGACCATGCACTTCAACTCTGACCCAGCTTTGAATGCACTTTTGGTCAACATTTCACTAGTCACGTTTTAATGCGTATTAAATAGACTAAGTACCGTGGGTGCCTCTTCTGCACAGTTTTCCTTCTGCATGGGAGTCGCTGGAACTTCAGGGGCAGATCTCCCAGCCTTCCTTTTGGCTTTCTCCATCTGAATGTTAGTGAAATAGTTGACAGCTGCAAACTCAATCAGCGCAGAGAAGACGAAGGCGAAGCACACGGCAATGAACCAGTCCATGGCAGTGGCATAGGAGACTTTGGGCAAAGAATGCCGCGCACTGATGCTCAGAGTTGTCATGGTCAAAACCGTTGTTATCCCTGTAAAAAGAAAAGAAGCAAAGCAACACTGCTGCATTTGAGAATCATATCAATTTTTTTAAAAAAAAATCACTCCAATATATTTGGGGCCATAGCCGAATACAAAATGGCGCAAGCTGAAATAGTTTGGAAGTGTTTCAACACTCTCCTTACCAAAGGGGGGGGGAGTACATGTGAGGATTTCATTAAAAAGCATTGAGACAAATGAGACCCCAGCTGAAATTAAAGTGGGGAGGATGAAACACTGTATGAGTGAGGTATTGATCGATTGATTGATTGATTGATTGATTGCAATCATATCCCTTTTCCTAGCCCAAGGAACTCAAGGTAGTGTCAGGGCTGGGTCCAGATGTCGGTCAGCACACAGGAAGCAGAGACTATTGGTGCAGTTAATTCTTTATTCAAGAATATGCCATACAACTTAGCAAAACTCCCAGCAGGACTTGCTCTGCTAGTTCCCAGGACTGACAGTCCTCGCCTTCCACTTCCTCTAAGGCTCCTCCTCTGCCAGATGTTTTCCAAGCAGTCTCAAACTTCGCCTGGGCGCCTGTAATCTCTGCTCCACTCTACACATCACATTGCATGACCTTGGAGACTAGCAGAGAGGGGAGCTTGTCGCAGTAGGAGAGGCAGGCCCCTGGGATTTTTCTGCAGCCTCTTGCCTCCACCCCCTCTGCTTTAGCCTCTGAGTCAGAACAGTTCCCAGTCACCAACTCTCCTTGCTCCCTCTATCCTACTGCCTCTCAGCCTCCAATCCCTCCTCCCACTCTTCTCCCTCTGACCTCCATCAACTTCCTGGCTCTGAGCCTTCCTCCTCTGGGGTTTCCCATGGGGGTCTCCCGCCTGGTACCTCCTACCACTCTTCATCATCCAGCCAGTCCATGACAGGTGGCATACATGGTTCTCCCTCTCCTCAGTTAATCCCCACAACAGCCCTGCAAAGTAGGTTTGGCTGAGAGGCAATGAGAGGTCAACCAACAAGCTTCTAGGTAGGTTTGGCTGAGAGGTCACCCAATGAGCTTCATGGTCAAGGGCAGATTCGAACCCTCGGTCTCCCAGGTACTAGTCCAGCACTCACTGGAGAGCCAGTGTGGTGTAGTGGTTAAGAGCAGTAGACTCGTAATCTGGTGAACCGGGTTCGCGTCTCCGCTCCTCCACATGCAGCTGCTGGGTGACCTTGGGCTAGTCACACTTCTTTGAAGTCTCTCAGCCCTACTCACCTCACAGAGTGTTTGTTGTGGGGGAGGAAGGGAAAGGAGAATGTTAGCCGCTTTGAGACTCCTTAGGGTAGTGATAAAGCGGGATATCAAATCCAAACTCTTCTTCTTCTTCTTCTAGCCACAATGCCACACTGAATGTGTCTAAGTTACTCCAGTGTGGTGAAAACTCTCCTTTAACAGCACCATAACTATTTTAGATTAATGCAGAAGTTAAAACTATGGCCTCACCCATTCCGTATTTTTATTCCTAGCTACTAGAGATAGCCAGGATCCATGAGACATCACAGGAATTAACATGGGGGCTGCCATTTCACACGCACCCTAATATTATCTGGATACAGTTGCATGCACTCATTATAAGCACTGAAAACAAATTCATAATTTTACATTAAAATGGAGTCATTACTTCCGTGAAAGAATGCGCAGAACTCTGATTGGGGTCAAAAAAGTTTTCATACTTGAAAATTGATCAAGGTCTTGGTGGAGCAGTCAACTGATTATTTTTCCGCCTGTTTTAGCAATTGAAACCTGCTGTGCTATGTGCTGTATGCTTTTCCAGTGTATTTTTAAAGACATACCACCACAGATTGAAACCCTGGGTCCAATACATCTTGTTATTGCTTTTTTAAAAAATCTTACTTAGTTGTGGTCTACCTGACCCCAATAGCAATTAAAGTGTTTTATCCAAGGAGGGTTTGTGTGTGTGTGTGTGTGTGTGGCAAAAACCTATTTTTTGCAAACCTAAAAGGCTCCACTGAAGCTCAGAGCTCTAAATGACAGTGATTCCACTGCAAATTCTGTTTATGGCTCTCTCTCTCTCTTTCTCCACCAGAAGGCAGAGAGGAAGAATGAACTCAATATTGCTTTAAAATAACATGAGAGACTATACATTTTAATAAAGCAGCCAAGGAGACAGCGGTATGTGATCAAATACAGCAGTACAGTGTTCCTCCTGACAGTTCTGTAATATAGCTCTAATGATATGGAACAATCCACTTACAGCTCTTGGACTGAGGCTGCAGCTTGAATTAGTACAGAGCATAACCACCTCGGGGAAAGGCTCTCTGTGTTCTGCAATGCTGTGTGCATGTGTGTGCATGCACACATGTGCTCATTCCAGCAAAAGGAAAGCTGCACATGGAAAGTTTGTGGTTAGACTGTACACTTTCAAAACTGTATCTGTGTCACAATGCACACTGGAGACATAATTATTATTATTATTTATTTATACCCCGCCCATCTGGCTGGGTTTCCCCAGCCACTCTGGGCATCTGACAGCACATATAAAAACATATTTAATGTGGATTCAGGATCACCTGAAGTGTGGGTTTGATATGCACATTCCCATCTGCCATGCAATGCAGAAGAGAATAAAGAAATTAAGAGAAGCAGAGAGGAGGTGACCTCAACATTTGCTAGACCTACACTGAAAAGACCTACACTGGCTGTTGGAAATGTAAAGATAAAGAGGGCTCCTTCTACCATATGTGGTGGGAGTGTGGAAAAGTGAAACAGTTTTGGGAAAAAATTTACATTGAACTAAAGAAGATTTTAAAATACACGTTCACAAAGAAACCGGAAATCTTCCTATTAGGGGTACTGGGGCACGAGATAAAAAAGGAAGATTGTAGACTAGTATATTATGCAGTTACAGCAGCAAGGGTAGTCTTAGCCCAGAGGTGGAAACAGCAGGAAATACCAACGGTGGAGGAGTGGAGATTAAAGCTATTAGACTACGTGGAATTGGATAAATTGACAGGAAAAATTAGGTATATAAGAGACCAAAAGTTCATCAAGGATTGGGGAAAGTACGTAGATTACCTGGAACATATTAGTGAGGGACAAACAACGCTAAAGGGATTCAGAGATGTACTGTGAAAGACTAAGAGCTATTGTACAAAGAAAATAGGAGATAGAGAAAGGTATAATGGCAATAGAAGCCGGGAAATGCGTAACTTTATTGACTACTTCGAATGATTTACGGACAAGCTGAAGGAAGTCTTGAAAGGGATAGCGAAGTAATTGGACTGATGTGAAAATTATAAATTTGTGTATTTTTCCCCTCTTTTTTGTTCTTTGTTTGTTTGTGTATTATTTTCTTTTTGCTTTCTATGTTTATTTTTGTGTTAGTTTCTATTCTCTTATGGAATCAACCAATAAAAAGAATTTGGGGAAAAAAGAAAAGACCTACACTGGCTCCCAGTATGTTTCTGAGCACAATTCAAAGTGTTGGTGCTGACCTTTAAAGCCCTAAACGGCCTCAGCCCAGTATACCTGAAGGAGCGTCTCCACCTCCATCATTCTGCCTGGACACTGAGGTCCAGCTCCGAGGGCCTTCTGGCGGTTCCCTCACTGCAAGAAGCCAAGTTACAGGGAACCAGGCAGAGGACCTTCTCAGTAGTGGCGCCCTCCCTGTGGAACGCCCTCCCACCAGATGTCAAAGAGAAAAATAACTACCAAATTTTTAGAAGCCATCTGAAGGCAGCCCTGTTTAGGGAAGCTTTTCATGTTTAATTGGTTATTGTATTTTAGTGTTTTGTTGGAAGCCGCCCAGAGTGGCTGGGGAAACCCAGCCAGATGGGCAGGGTATAAATAAATTATTATTATTATTATTATTATTATTATTATTATTATTATTATTGACTATAGTCCATTGAAATGAGGCTGAGCCCAAGGGATCTTGGGTAGAAAACTCTCATTTTTTCGGAGCAGCTTTCCTTACTCAAGTTTGATGCCTCTAACAATGGCAGGCCAGATGCCTCATTGAATAAAGTTCAGATACTGTAAGGGGCGCAAATCAGGTTTCAGCAGTCGACAGCCCTGAGGTATGAACAGAGACATGGAATTTGGAAGGTTGCCATGGTAACTGGGTGTGATGTCACAAGAAGAGGTTGGGGTCTTTGGCACGAGGCTTGGGGACAGCTGAGATCTTGGATGAAGGCAGGCCGGGTGAGATACCTTGGACTCCAGTGCTGTGGGGAACAAGCCCCTCTTGAGCTGACCATGCTGACTAAAGGTGTAAATATGTGTAACTAAACCATATTTCTGAAGACACATCCTAACTCTCATGGGAACACAGGCCCTGGCTGAGCGTCTGGAACCTCCTGGAATCTTGCCACAGCTTAGCAGAGATTGGGGGTGGCCTCCAACCTTTGTAATGCGATGCCCAAGTTGCTGCTCTCCTTGCAGTGTCCAGCAGAGCAAAAGTTTGGAGACTTGGCCTCAGATCCATGAGGGATCACCCCAAAGAGTTGCTTCCCTTCTGGCAGCCTCCAAGAGGCAGCCACTTTCCAGATCTCATGCTGGAGAGTTGGGCAACACAAGCAGAAAACACAGGGGAGGGGAATTGTGTGGCATTATGTAGACAAGGATTGTATCCTACTGGAAGACAATTCCTTTATTTGGGAACTTACACATTTTATTTTGAAGGGGCCTTTCAGATTAAAATAGTAATTCCAAACATAACAAAAGACTACTGTTAATCCTTCTGATTCTCTCTGGGTATATACACAGAAGCACAGCAGAGAAGTGCTCCCCGGATATTTAATTGTTAAGTATTATCCTATCGTGTATTTCATTAAAAATTCAAGTCTTTTTAAAGAGAGTATCAGATTGCCTAATTGGCATATGAATGCTAATATATTTATGTTGTAGCCTAAATGGTGACTGTTCTTATTCCTCGCGTAATCCAAATAAAACTGGTGACATTGATATTAATGGGAACAATTCACTTTGCTGCTTGGAGGGAAAATGGCAGGATTATCACTTGGCACTTTTTAAGGAAGCTCTTTATCTGTTAAATCTTTCTGCAGGAAGACTACTAGGAATGAAATTCAACCGGGAATATGGAAAGAGAGCATACCCTCCAACATTTCTCCAAAGAAAATAGGGACATCCTATCCCATAATAATAATTTTATTATTTATACCTCACCCATCTGACTGGGTTGGCCCAGCCATTCTGGGCGGCTTCCAACACATATAAAAACACAATAAAGCATTAAACATTTTTTTAAAACTTCCCTATAAAGGGCTGCCTTCAGATGTCTTCTGAAGGTTTATAGTTACTTATCTCCTTGGCTCGGGGTCACATAACCATACCCTCCAACATTTCTCCAATGAAAATAGGGATGTCCTAAGGCAGGCGTGTCCAAAGTCCGTTTCGGGGGCCTAATCCAGCCTGCCGGTCAATTTAATCCAGCCCCTAAAAAAAGTTCAACAACTTTGGCCGGCCCTCATGCATGTTCATTTCATCAAATCTGGCCCTTTTGGAAAAGGTTTGGGCACCCCTGTCTAAGGAAAAGTGGGACATTCCAGGATCAGATTAGAAACTGGGACGGCTTCTGTAAAATTGGGACTGTCCCTGGAAAATAGAGACACTTGATTAGTCTGCTTCTGGTGAGTAGAATGGCATAATATTCGCCTCAGACAGAGAAATGTCTTAGCTGGCCCTTGCCCTTCCTCTAGTGTCACACCTAGAACATCTCACTGTTTCATAAGCATTTTTTGCAAGGGAGGGGGATGATGAAACCCTGATCCATTGTTCATGTTTATTTTACATGAAACTGGCTCACATTAGCTATCCCTGGCTCTTGGCATCAGCTGTACTTATAAGAGCTTCCCATTGAAAACTTTTCACCCAGACAAAAGCTGCTGGGTCTCTGTAAACATTAAAAATATAAAGAGCTTCTTCATGCCTGCTTGAAGATGGAGAAATGTAATCTGAATGGCTACGCAAGACCCTGCTTCTCATATAATCAAACCTAACAAGACAAAGGCAGGCCGCTGGGAGCCTGAAGCTCCTTTGATGGGAAAGAGAACAAACATAGCAGGAAACAGTGAACTCTACTTCTTGGAACGATGGAATTTTCCAAACTTGCTGAAAGACTGCTAGCTGGAAAAAAAATCTATAGAAACTATAAAGTATTTTTTTTAAGCATTTTCACCTTTGAGCACAAAGACCAGCAAATGATGGTTTATTGCTACAAATGTATCACTTCAGGGTACGTTCAGATGGGGACTTAATACCACCAATGGTTTATTGGCAACTAGGTTTTTTGGTCCCCTCACCTGCTTGCAAATAGAAGGGGAAGAAATGGAGGCAGTGAGAGATTTTACTTTCTTGGGCTCCATGATCACTGCAGATGGTGACAGCAGTCACGAAATTAAAAGACGCCTGCTTCTTGGGAGAAAAGCGATGACAAACCTAAACAGCATCTTAAAAAGCAGACATGACCTTGCCGACAAAGGTCCATATAGTTAAAGCTATGGTTTTCCCAGTAGAGATTTATGGAAGTGAGAGCTGGACCATAAAGAAGGCTGATCGCCGAAGAATTGATGCTTTTGAATAAAGGTGCTGGAGGAGACTCTTGAGAGTCCCATGGACTGCAAGAAGATCAAACCTATCAATTCTGAAGGAAATCAGCCCTGAGTGCTCACTGGAAGGACAGATCCTGAAGCTGAGGCTCCAATACTTTGGCCACCTCATGAGAAGAGAAGATTCCCTGGAAAAGACCCTTATGTTGGGAAAGATGGAGGGCACAAGGAGAAGGGGACGACAGAGGACGAGATGTTTGAACAGTGTTCTCAAAGCTACCAACATGAGTTTGGCCAAACTGCGGGAGGCAGTGGAAGAAAGGCGTGCCTGGCGTGCTCTGGTCCATGGGGTCACGAAGAGTCGGACACGACTAAACGACTAAACAACAACAAGGTTTTTTAACTGATTGGATTTTCCATGGAAAGGGTAAGTCTAGATGAAAGCTGCAATACCTGGTTTCCTGGGAGTAAGCCTCATTGGGTTAGGTGGGACTTCCAAGTAGACACTTCTAGGCTTGTTAGGTAAATAAGGGAAGGGGAAAAAATACAGGCTGGCATTTGGATGACATTGTGTAGAGCTCAAGAAGCTTGCCTGCAGGAGCAGCACCCATCCTACAACAAACAGTTCTCTGGCAACACACACGGTACAGCAAGCACATTGCTAAATGCTCATCAGCCTTACTTATACAGGACAGTCGAAGGCAACAATGTTATTTAAGTTACCATGGATCATTTGCAACCTTCTGAACTCCACTTGGTATGGGTAAGCCAACCCCCGTCATAATTGACAGCCACCCACCACAGCCCATTACAGCATAGACATCATCACCTGCCTGCTAGGTGCACATACAAAAACTATCCCACTAAAGATAGTCATGTCAGCCATGGGGGCGGGGGGAGAATCCAAAATTCCTCCAATTTGGAATCCTGTCTCCCGGGTCTTTTGTGGGGGGTGTCTGTGTGTGAGGGAGAGTCTCCAACCAACCCTCTAAATCAGTGTTTCCTGAACTTGTCTCTCCAGCTTTTTTGGACTACAACTCCCATCATCCCTAGCTAGCAGGACCAGTGGTCAGGGATGATGGGAACTGTAGTTCAAAAACAGCTGGAGACCCAGGTTTGGGAAACACTGATGGAGTCATATTAGGAGTTCAGGGCAACTCAAAAACTTTTGTGACCTTTTGGTTAGCCCAATAAAGGCATTGCCCTAATATGGATTTCTGAATCCATCCCGCCATTATTTATTTATTCATGAATTTAATAATCTGCACTTTCGTAGAAATCAAGCAAGGTGGAGTACAACATATAAGGACAAAATCAACAGCAGAGCCATAAAAACATCGATGAAACATCAACGTCATCTCTGACAAAACCTATTTATCAGGCTTTAATTTATTATGGGAACCTGTCTGAGCAGAGACAACATAGGATTAGGTGGGGATAAATCTACACACCCCAAGCCAAAATGGATCTATATCAAAGCACTTTCAGTTCTTTAAAACCTATTACCTTTCTACAGCCTCAACAAGAAAAGGCGCCACTGGAGTTTTCTTTTGCGATTTCTTGCTGGGATGAAACGGAGGAGGGCTAAGTAATACATACATATTCAGATTTCTCTTTCAGATGGAAAGTCCGCCCCTGCCAGGCCTAATTTTAACCTCTTTTATTCATCTCTCTCTGAAATGTACTGCTTAATAGGTCTTTTGGTTCAATGGTCTCCACTTGATTAATCCTTCTCCAATGCATGGCAATGCTGAGGTTTAGAAAGATAACTTCTTTAGAAAATTGCTTCAGCCGTATCTGTATTCTCCTCTCCTTTGTCAGAAACCCAGATTTCCCCCTCAGCTCCCTGTGCGCTGCCTCCATGCCGTTTGTCTCCTCTTGCTTTCAGTGTCAATTGGAGCATCCTCTTTCAAATTGCATTTTAATGTGCTTCATTCTAATATCGCGTAATCGATTTTCCTAATTGCTTTTTCAATTCACTCTCGCCAAGGCAGGAGGAGAAAGGGGCCTGTATCAGCGAAGCTGACATTACAGATTCAGAGCCGGAGGGCATACTCCTTCCTTGGCCAAATCTCTCATTCAAATCAGTTGGGCTCCTCAAGAAGACTAAAAAGACATACAAAGTCAGCAGTGAGACTTACCAAAAACAGTTCTGGCAGGAACAGACTCCTTATTGATCCAAAATGAAACTTGGGAGAGGATCACAGTCATGATGCATGGAATGTAGGTTTGTATCATAAAATAACCCATTTTTCGTCTGAGGTGGAAGTGTACTGTCATAACGACATATTCACCTTAAAGGGGGGGAAAGCCAAAAGTGATATTTTTAATAAAAAAAACAACAACTTTCAGTACACCCAGATTTATTTTCTTATTTTAACATATTCTCCAGCTACTCAAATTGCATTCAGTTCATTTGACTCTGAAAACATGAAGTTTCACTAAAGTGAAAAAAGTTTCAGCCTAGCTAAGACAGCAGTGGGAGCTCACATGAGTCACTCCAAGCTCCACATAGGAAGAACAGGATATATAATAATAAACAAAAGCCATACTGAGTCCAGGGAAAGTAAGTAGATCTTAAAATACTATCCAGGAGGTGGGATGTAAAACATGAAATAATAGGGGCTGTTTGACATCCCTCATACTTTCACGTACCATAAAGACACTTAGGTATACGCTGGAGGGAGGGGAAAAATAAGTATAAGTAAAATATTAGCTATCTGTTCTGATATAGCAGCATCTGGAAAACATATAATTACTACTTCAGGATTATCTTTTCAACAGATGCACCAAGAAAATGTCTTCCTTTCATTGATTTTTTTAACCAATGAATACCAAACATAGTTGTTATTCACCAGGTGAAGCTGTCACATTTAAACCCCATTAAAATGAATGGGGATGGCACAAAAGCACCTCCCTGGGCTTGTGTAGTTGAGTACCCATTCATTTCAGTGGGGCTGCAATGGAAAATTTTCCATAATAGTGACTGTATGGAAAGTATGTTTGGGACCTTGGGACCAGTCCAATGCTCAAAGCAGGAGGGGGGGAATGAAGTGAGGTGGTTATAGGTCCATCTGAATAGAAATGGAATGGCTCTCTATCCTACTTGGAGTCAGGCTTAAAGGTAAAGGGACCCCTGACCATTAGGTCCAGTCATGACCGACTCTAGGGTTGCGGCGCTCATCTCGCTTTATTGGCCAAGGAAGCCGGCGTACAGCTTCCAGGTCATGTGGCCAGCATGACTAAGCCACTTCTGGCAAACCAGAGCAGCGCACAGAAATGCCGTTTACCTTCTACTTGCACTTTGAAGTGCTTTCGAACTGCTAGGTTGGCAGGAGCAGGGATCGAGCAACGAGAGCTCACCCTGTCGCGGCAATTCGAACCGCCGACCTTCTGATCAGCAAGTCCTAGGCTCTGTGGTTTAACCCACAGTGCCACCTGCGTCCCTAGGAGTCAGGCTTAGGGCCTACCAAAAAACGCCGCACAAGAGCAAAGGAGTTTCAAAGCCAAGACAAGTAAAGAGCTAAGGATTATCAAACATATTGAAGGCTTGCATGCCTTCTCCCATGCTCATGTCCTAGTCTACAGAGCCAGACATAGTGGACTAGATGTGTTGTAGCTGGCCACCTGCCCGTCACTGTTTTTCCATCCCTGTTTCTCCAGTCTAGGGCATGCATTAAGAACAGGAGGTTTGTTAAGCCCATGGTGGGTCAGGTCTGTTCCAAAGTGCAACTGTGTGCAGGATAGAACCGAACCAATGTTCTTCATTCCACACAGTGAAAAGAAATTGCCTGCCAAAACTCAAAGCATGATCAAAATGCTCAATTAATTGCCTCACTTCCGCCCATCTTCTCCTCCCACATACCACCCACCCACTTAAAGGAAAGCTATAAACAACCTGAGCCTTCTGGTGGAAGTTCTGGTATGAAACCATCATTTCAGATTTGGGCTGCTATTCAAACTCAATTTTAAAAGAAGTGGAAGGAAATGTATCTTGCTGGGAAGTCCATTACACTCCAGGATCTAGTTGTTTTATAATTACCATATTTTTTGCTCTATAAGACTCACTTTTTCCCTCCTAAAAAGTAAGGGGAAATGTGTGTGCGTCTTATGGAGTGAATGCAGGCTGCGCAGCTATCCCAGAAGCCAGAACAGCAAGAGGGATCGCTGCTTTCACTGTGCAGCAATCCCTCTTGCTGTTCTGACTTCTGAGATTCAGAATATTTTTTTTCTTGTTTTCCTCCTCCAAAAACTAGGTGCGTCTTGTGGTCTGGTGCGTCTTATAGAGCGAAAAATACGGTACATACTGAGATTTTTTACCAAGATAATGGACTGCTTCTTAAGGAGCAGTCTAAGAATCTTGGCCTGATATTCCATTATAGATCAGTGATATGTCACTTACAGATAATATCCAATACATTAGGAAAATATTGCTTCATCTTGCTATCAATAACGACACTCGGAAATCTGTCGCCTACATCTGCTCCCTCTGTTGCTTAATTCTGTCGTGATCTCTGCGAGAGCATGTTTCAAACTGCACCAGTAATAGAGCGTTTAGCAATACAATCATATAACCAACCAACAGCCATCATTTTTTAAAAAATGAAAAACAAAAACACCCACAGATCTTAAAAACTGCCACTTCTCACACTGCTGCCTGTTGCTATTTTTTATCACTACACAAAAATATAAAAAATATAAAAAACAACCCAGCAGTAATAGCTGTTATGTTTAATGTGTTTGCTCCAACAGCAATTCTAATAGGGATTTAGTTGGACAATCTGCATGCAATTTGTAGCATGATAAATCACAAAGATCAACACTTGCCAGCAGCACGGCTATGAAAATATTTCGGTAGCTACGATCTTGCATTTTCAACCATTTTCACTTTGCTTTCCGAAGAGAGACAGCACAGCACGCAGCAACAGGCTATCTGCATTAATGTAAGCCTGGAGATAAATGGTCTAGGATTTGCCATATGCTTATTATGCCTCTTAGGCTACACTGAGATTTCCAAAGCATCTTTGGCTAAAACAAAATTCCACCGCTAACTCTACCCCTTAAGTTGATGATCACCAATTGGATTCTTACCTGTAATGGATTTAACAGTATCAGTGGATGCTGTATGCCCAAGCAGGTCATACTGAACTAAACTGGAAGACTCTTCAGGAACTTCCACTGAATTCTTAGGTCCTTTTGTCCAGGTGTAAATCATTTCACTCTTTGGATATGCATCTGGGGGGAAAATACATACAATTAAAATGTTGGGTCTCGACTTATTGATGCCAACAGGCCTTTGGAGCGCTTCAGGTTTTTTTTTACTTTGATTAGCCAGTCACCTTAATAATTATATTTTTATTTTTTTTACTAGGGAGTGAACCACTGCTCAGCTCTGCTTGCCAGACCCACCACTGCCATTCACCCCATATTAACCCCTAGAGCTTCCTCTTCCCACCCCATACAATTACTAAGCTAATTTTTCACCTTCCCAACCCCATTTCTGAAGCAGTTTCTCTCTTCAATTCTGCACTTTACAGCCATTTCCACCTTCACCCCTATATCCATGTCTCCTTCTCCTCTCCCTCCTTCTGTGCAACTTCCTCTTGAACACAAACTACCCTATTGGTAAACTCCTGAATCTTCCTCAAGCCACACATAGCAATTAGCTTCATTTTCACCTTCCAATCAGTTGTGAAACCACCACCCCATTCTATTCTGCATTTCTTTTCATGGCACTTCTCCCATTCCCTTGCCTCCTCTCCCTTCTTTTTTTGCAACACCCCATTTTTACCTGCAGCCCACATTTCCTCCCCCTTCCTCACTTTTCTCAGCTCTTCTTTACACCCAGATCGCCCCCACGGCCATCTTTGTGCACGCACCCCATGATGATATATGTTACTGTATCTTTAAGATTAACAGAATTTTAAGAGCAAGCCTGCCATTGAACTTGTTCACTTAGAGAAGGTTAAGTTCAGTTGATGGGTGTTGTACACATATGGGTGTCTTCTTGTTAATGAAATAGATATATATTCTAAATTAATACATTGCACCTGGAACTTCACGTTGTAGAAAACACATGGTGCCAGGAGTGAAACACATTGTACTATGGAATATTAGAGGGCTCCACAAACTTTATCTCTGTCACATGAGCTGCCGAGAAATGGATGAGGGAGAGCTTTGAGTACAGTGAGAAGGGAGAGAGACTTAAAGGGGGGAACAGCTATTTTAAACAATAGCAGAAGTTTGAGTAAGGCAGGGATGAAGAAACACTGACAGGAACATGGTGGTTTTAAATAGCCGCACAACTTTGAGTAAAGCAGGAATAGAGAAACACTGAGGGGTGGTTGTTTTTAACACACACACAAAGTTTTAACAAGGAGAAATGGCAGAGGTGGGTACCACACAGTAGGCCAACACCAAAAAGCAAAACAGCAGAGCTTTTCCCAACTCCCTTCTCCCTTGTTTTAAGCTGCCATTTCTCAACCAGTCCAGTGATATCCCCTGCTCTTAATTTCAATTGACCTAAGCCATGCAGCTCTGGATATTATCTGACCAGTTTCATACATAAAACGTTAAGTAGAGAAGGTCTGTGTGACTTACAACTCCCAAATTTCAGAGGACAGGCGTGACCATCCATTGGGAAATCGACCAATCTCATGGGGCACTCAGCACTTATGGTGAGCCTATAAGGAACAAAATGGAATTAGCCCCAGAATGATGTGTTCCCTCTCTCACGCAAAGTAAAATAAAAGAACGGAAAGATAGATAAATCAACTACCTCATTGTATAAAGGATGGTACCATTTCTCATGATTCTGAATAGTTTATTTGGGGCTGTCATATTATGCGAGACAGATTTTTTCCCATTCCGGAAGAAAGTGTCTGGTGTCCACACTTTGGTAACCATCAAGTTGTTAAGTCTTAGAATTTCAATGGGACCATCATATCTTAATCTTTTGTCGACCCACGTCTGACGAAAGAAAACATCCATCGTGTATTCCTACAGTAATTTGGAAGAGACACAAACTTAATATGTTTTATAAGCATATCCTTTCTATGAATATCCCTCAAGGACAAATTAGTCACTGGTAACTGTAAACTCCCTAAACACATTTCTATCAATTAAACAGAACTATGTACTCCTTTAATACTTTAATTTTCCACATTACTCATATAAATAAATTGCTATACATATTAAATCAATCAAAAATAATTACTATAATCTAATAGAATGGCAAGAAGCACGCAATTAAACTTGTACTCTAGCACAGAACTGGAAACAGAATGATTAATTCATTAACATATGTTAATGGTTTTCATGTCCACGCTATTTTTTTTAAACAGATGGACAAATTAAAATATGCAGTGGGCCACATGATTAATTATATCAGCCAAAATCAAAGGAATATTATCTAATTTCAACAAATAAAACACAGATGGGATGATCCAAATGGGAAGTAGCGTGTCACAAAATGATCATGCAGCCCTTTATTTGGAAACCACTTATGAACACGCATGTTTCCAATGGCCTTCATAAATGTGTTCACAGGACTAAAAAATGTGTGCGTGTGTGGATAAAGAACTATAGGTGCAGGCATATGGCTTGATGCAGAACCCTATGTGAACTGCAAAGGTCATATGGACATCTAGAGCAAAGAGGCTCCAGAGCATATGCGTACAAACCTCAGCTGAGAGGGCAAGTCCATATGGAAAAGGATATGCACACAAAGTTGATATTTTCAGCTGAAATCAAGTCCCAAATAAATGTGACTAGGTCTGAAACCTTAGCGAACCCATTGTGAAATCACTGGGCACTTGAAAAACATGCACTGGAAAATGCACGGATTGAGCAAGAGCAAGGCATAGACTAGAGTCACGACTATGCATTTGCTGCGACTTCCAAGCAGGAAGAGAGAAAATGTGTGGAAGATGGAACTGGGTGTGAAACTCAACTACCTGAGAACCTCAGCTTGCACTTACAGTGGTACCTTGGTTCTCAAATGCCTTGGTTCCCAAACACCGAAAACCTGGAAGTAAGTATTCCAGTTTTTGAACATTTTTCGGAAGCTGAGTATCCAATGCAGCTGTCGGCTGTTGTTTCTGGGGTGCCTGCACCAATCAGAAGCTGCGCCTTGGTTTTTGAACATTTTGGAAGTCAAATGGACTTCCGGAATGGATTAAGTTTGGCGCTTTTGTTTTTGCTATTTATTTTGCATTTTTTGTTTTTGAAGCTTTTTCAGTTAATTTGTTTTTGTGACTGTGTGGAACCCAGTTCATCTACTGATTGATTGATTGATTGATTGATTGATTGATTGTGTGATTGCGGAAATGGATAAAAGCCACCTATCCAAACAATGACTATCATCAGTGCAGGTAAGAACAAAATTTAATTTTAATTTTTATCATCTACAATACTGTCTTATTTTTTTATAGTACAGTACATTGATTATTGCTTTCATTTTATGGATCAATGGTCTCGTTAGATAGCAAAATTCATGTTAAATTGCTTGTTTTAGGGTTGTTTTTAAAAGTCTGGAACGGATTAATCCATTTTGCATTACTTTCTATGGGAAAGCGCGCCTTGGTTTTGGAACGCTTTGGTTTTGGAACGGACTTCCGGAATGGATTAAGTTTGAGAACCACGGTACTGCTGTATTTGTTTATCTATTGGGAGGATTTATAGTCCTCACTGTTGGAATGAGAACAAGCAATACCTGATGAAACCTCAGAAGATTAATAAGATTTCTAGTAACTGAGGGCACAGCCTTATAGCTCTGCATTAGCTTCTTGCCCCTCCCTGTGACTTAAAGGAGTAGTATAAATTGTGCAAAATGAGGCAACTCAGGGGAATGGACGTCTTTTGCTTAATATGTACAGTTCATAGACTTCAGACTTCCATGGCTCAGACTAAGTCTTTGATGCCAGTATCCAATACCTCTGTTTCTGCCATTGTTGTCCTTTGCATCCAGCAAGGTTATGAATTATTCTATATTGGGGTGACTATTCTCCAAAGAACTGGCTATATCATTTCCATAGCTGGTGTAAATCTGCTGAAAGCGATTTAAACAAAAACCAAAAAAACTCACACACATTGGTCTAAATCCAGCCTGCATGGGAGGACCAGAATCAGGGCTGCCACATCTAAAAATAGCCTGAAAATTAGGCTGCTGCTAATCTTCCCTACTTTGCATGATTGACAACAGTGCACAAAGGCATCTGAATTAGTCGTTCACTCATTACTGGGGTTCATTTCCTCACCGCCACCTCAACCCTACAAAATCAAAGAAAGCGAGTGATACCTACCATCTCTACATCAGAAACAGGTCCAAAACTGGTGACATAGATATCTGTTTTGACTTCAGTTACAGGACCTAATATATATAAAAAGGAAGTGAGCAAGGAAAATTGGAATGTTTCAGGTTTAAAAGCAGGAAAGATTGTACTGGCAAAAAAAAAAAAGCCACATCTTATGCAATTGTCACTTTGACGATTCATTTGACTAATCGGAGGAAAATGCGCAGGCAGCATGTTCTTCCAACCAAGCCTGCTGAACTTGGAAATTCTTGCATAATGTTGATTTTCATGCCATCTCTTGACTTACGTAAGTACACTGGTATAATTCAGAAATGCTTTTGTAATGCGTTGTCTCGGATTGACATGGGCAAGAAAATACATGCACATGAAGATCTGGAAAAAGCTCTTATTTATAAAGAGAAAAGTGTTCTGGTCCTTCAAACTTTGCTTCAAATTGGGTTAATAGGGAATATACAACTGCATTCGCAAAGACTCAGTTCACATATAACACCAAACCATGGTTTGACACTAGAGGAGCAAACCCTATACTCCTTTGGTCACACTCCCTATCCCTCTTCCACTTTTGTGCTCCATCTGCTGCAGACCATGCCATTTGCCACAGACCATATTTTGCAGTTACATCCAAGCTGGCAAACTATGGTTTGTGCTTGTTTTGCAAATCAGTGTAACACCCTAAGATCAAATACTATTTTACAGTCCCAATCTGCAACGTAGGTACATGCCATAGTTTGCCAGTTTGGATGCAATGGCAAACTGGTTTACCAACCATCAGGAAGTAATCAATTGATAAGGGAGTGTGGAGGGAGGAGGACAGGGTAAAGATGTGGGCACAGAGTTCATTCCTGCGTGTGAACCTATCCAGAGTGTGATCCAACTACACGAGAAATAGAAAACATAAAGAAGTTAGAATTCCCAATGCAATCCTACCACACCTCGCTCAGAATACACACAGGTCCCACTATCCACCTGCTCATTATGTGAAAATTCACTTATCCAAACACAAAGAATTATGCCAAAACCTTGCTGCACACATGGCTGATTCAGATATCCAAACAGCCAGAGTTTGCCCACTTCCTTACTTTTTTTTGTGCTTTGCTGGCTAGGGGCTGCCATTTTAAGGTAAAAACCATGGAGAGAGGGAGTGGGGAGAAAGATTCGGACAAATCACCAAGCAGGATAATTCAGACAAATCAGGGAGCAGGAGACATTAGACAAAATCAGATTTTTCCTCTGCCTCTCTTTTGCTAGTTGGCTGCAGGAAGATAGCTCATGGATTAGAAACGTTCCCATAAGAAATAATGGCTCATCAGCTCATTATGTGAATGCTCACTTAACAAATTCTTTCCTGGGAATCCATTGTGTTCAGAAGGTGGGACCTGCATTAATTTATGAGAATACTGTGGCTCCCAAGCATTTTCGGGGGGGGGAGAGATTTGCCCTCCAAGTCATTTGAGTTTAACATCCTTGACCACAATTAATGTCCAGGTTAATCAGTTCACAGCAAAGGAAGGAGCAAAGTGGCCGTGCGTGCAGTCAAAATGCTCATACATATTTTGTCTTAATAAGCCAAGTTATGGTTTATTAAGCCAAGTTACATAGCCAGCATGTTCACATACTGAGCTGGAAAACAAGTCACCAGCATCTATTGTCCATTATAGCCTCTTAATACCCTACGCCCCATTTTAGTTTTTCAAACACTTATAGCAAACAAAATAGCAACAGTGTCCATAATATTTCTACAAAACAATTTATCCTTATTAGATTTTTTTAAAAAATCAGCATACTGGCTGACATTCTTTGCTGCCTCCAAAAGCTATTTTGTCTCAAGTAGGTATATTTGAAAGGCACAATCTATTGGTGCTTGTTTGAGCACATCCTTCCATCCCCTTAAACTATTATCCATAACACATTTATTACTTCAACCCCCCTGAAAGGCACACAGACTTACACTTAGGTAAGTCTGTGGTGGGAAGGAATTATTTAGCTAGGCTGGCGGAAACCTCCACCATGCTCTCTCCAGGTTCAAAATCTTTAAAGTATCATGGGGGCAACCTTTGGTCCAATCTAGCAGAGCTTTTCTTATGTTCTTATGACTTTAGCAGGTGGCCAGGGATAATAATATAGATGGGTTCTGCTGCAAAACTGTGTATCTTAAAAAAGACCTCAGGCATATAGAATTTTTTTTATTTTATTTGGCTGGTTAGTTAGTTAGTTAGTTAGTTAGTTAGTTAGTTAGTATGCACACCCACCCCTTCATCCATAGATTCAAGGAAGTTCACAACATAAACGTCTAATGCAGGAATCTCAATGCTATCAGTGATGGACCTCCATTTTGGGGGCCCTGAAGCTTGAACCATCATGGAAGCCCTTTCACAACCAGCAATGAGGTCTGGGCATAGCTGTCAACCGTCCCTTATTTGGCGGGAAAGCCCCTTATCCCAGCGCTGTGTCCCGCTGCTGTCCCTTATTGATGATGTCCCTTAAATTTCCCGGGTTTCAAAAGAAGCAGCTCCTCTCCCTCCCTGCCTGCCGGCCAGGGTGGAGGGAGGCTCCAACTGTGTTGCTTGGCTGTGTTGCTCACCCAATAAGGAGTCTAAGAATGACTGGGGGGTGGAGCTTGCATGCCTTGTGCCAATCAAATTGGCCGCGTTGCCTGGGGATTCACCTTTGCTCAGCACTTCCCAGCGGAGAGGTGACGGTGGTTTTCCTTGCTGCATCCCCTTTGCCGGGTTGCTGCGCTGTGGGAACCACCGCTTGAGGCTTCGTTTGGCTGTTGGCTGGGCTTTCTGCCTTTGGCTTGGAGGGGCTCAGAAGTCGAACATACCTGTGTTTGGAAAATCCCTTATTTTGGCTGCTGATCCCTTATTTTCAAATCTGTAAATTGACAGCTTTGGGTCTGGGTAGCCACTATTATCTTCTGCAATGGGCTTGTTCCACGACAGATCAGCACACCTTTACAACATCTGTGCTACTGACTCTCAAACTTTGGGATGGTTGAAATATATGCAACAAATATATACAACTCAGATGGAGTCATGTGACTCTAATTGGGTCGCAGTGTGGACGAAAGTCACTTCTGGGGCACCACCAGGATTAGGAGCCCTGAAGTTTAACCTTCATTAGTTTCATTGTTGATTCATCCCTGACTGTTATTCTCTTTGGCTATACCAAAGAAGAAGACGTTCCATATATTTCGAAGCCTTCAAACTTCCAGGCTGTTGAGTTTATTGGGCTCTTTTAAACAACTCTTGCAGCCTAGCAGGCACAATGTGACAACACTGTGAAGATTTTGTTGAAAGGTAAAGCGCATTTGCCTTGTGCCTAACATTGTTGGGTGCGCAAATGTCACTTAGTGTCAAAATGCAGAAAGGAAGCATAAGCAATGAGAAAAGTGAAATTATTATTTCCCATTGGCCCGATATGGAGGTTTCAAGCTGCTAACTGAACACAGAACAAAAGCATGTAAAATTATCTCACTTCACAGTTTGTAAATTACACCTAAGAGTTCAGTTCGGAAGAAGATGAATGCAGGAATCACTAGAAGTTTTCCCCAACAAAGCAGCAATATGCAAGCTATGTTCGGATCACAGTCACCTCAATCAGCTCCTGCAATTTTCTAGTTCAAAAGTCTTCACCTTCTATCTCTTTTTTCTGACTTTCCATTTTTAATTCATAGGTCATCAAGATTGTGCAGCTGCTTGAAATCAACTCCTGAAAGTCCCCACATCTTCCTGTTGGAATGGCAGCTTTTCTGAACATGACTTTATTCGTTTAGCACAGGGTTGACAAACCTCTGACCTATGGGCAAAATTAGGCTTGCCAGGTCTCCCTATTTCACCTGCAAGGCCATTTTGGACTCACTGTACATCTAGCTTGGATGTCCTTGTCGTAAACTTATTGCTTATTGCAGGGCATTTGGTTCCATGTGTGTAAAGCTTGTGCATTGCTGGGTTCTCTTTTACACACCTGAAGTTCTTATATCAGTAGTCAAGCTAACATGCCAAAGCACAGAGAACTAATGCTTCAACTGTCATTGGAAATCCATCGGATTGCTTTTGTTTGATTCAAAGCCAGCGGACCTGATGGGATACCTGCCGAAGTCTTCAAAGTGGGCAGAAATGAACTGACACAACAACTTCACAAGCTCATTGAAAAAATCTGGGGGAGAGAGGAGATCCCAGCAGACTTTAGGGATGTCAAAATTATCAACCTTTTTTTTTAAAAAAAGGTGATAGAATGGATTGCGGAAACTATAGAGGCATCTCTTTATTAACTGCGGACTGCAGTTAATAAAGATCTTGTAAGGATCTTAGCAAACTGTCTCCTAACTATATCTGAGGCTGCCCTTCCTGAATCCCAAAATGGTTTTTGACTTTCTAGGGGGACAGTGGACATGATTTTCACTGCTTGACAGATTCAAGAAAAATGCAGAGAGCAAAACCATCCCCTGTATATTATCAACCTGACTAAGGCCTTTGACACTGTAAATCGTAATGCCCTGTGGACTGTCCTTCTGAAAATCAGCTGCCCAGATAAATTTGTGGATATCCTTCAGCTCCTCCATGATAATATGACAGAAACAATTGCAGATAACAACGGCTCTCAAAGTGAACCATTCACAGTGGGAGCAAGTGTTAAGCAGGATTGCGTTATTGCCCCAACTCTATTAATTGTTTTCATTGCCATGATCCTACACATTGTCAAAGGGAAACTCCCCAGCAGGGCAGAAATCATATATCAACAGATGGAAAGCTCTTTAACTTGAGTAGGGTGGTTACCTACTCAAAGAGTAAGTTACCATAACTTCCATCATAGAGCTTCAATATGCTGATGACAATGTAGTGTGTGCACACTCAGAGGATGACTTCCAAACCATTCTAAATATCTTCACAGAAGCCTACAAAAAGCTTGGCCTATCACTCAACATCCAAAAAAACCCAAAGTGAGGCACCAACAAGGACAAAACAACCCCTCTGTAGTGCCACAAATCCAACTCAATGGTGTAATGTTGGAGAGTGTCAATCACTTTTCCTACCTAGGCAGTTATCTTGCCACA